TCTTTCTTTTTTCTTTCTTTCTTTCTTTCTTTCTTCTTTCTTTCTTTCTTTCTTTCTTTCTTTCTTTCTTTCTTTCTTTCTTTCTTTCTTCCTTCCTTCCTTCCTTCCTTTCCTTCCTTCCTTCTTTCCCCCTTTTTTAATAGGAAAAATCACAGGCGTTTGCTGCAAAGGCAGGAAAGAGGGAAGGTCATTATTCCAAATGTTAGGAGGATTCAGAATGTCCCAGGTGATCGAGCGAAGACCAGGGGGCTACAGGAGATGCTGCGTTTGGGAAGACACAGCTTCTCTGAACCCATTTGAGCTCAGCCATGTTGGTCAGCAATTGCAGAGTGGAGAAATTTGCCAGCTCTCTGCTGGTCTGCCCTCCACCAAGCATTCATTCCCAGCTGGATCTGGGTTGCACCGATTCATAAGAAAACGTTGCTTTTGAAGACCGTCATTCAGGAACACGCGTGATGTGTGAATCAGTGAAATGCAAACTAGTGATAAAAACTACCAGTTCAGCAAATCGGTAGTAAAAAAAAATGCTTTTAAAAAGTAAAAAGAATGTTCCAACGATCGCGCGGCAGAGCTGTGATCGTCGAAACCTTTCTTTTTACATTTTTTTAAAGCATTTTTTTACTACCGGTTTGGGCGAATAGGTAGTAAAAAAATGCTTAAAAAGGTAAAAAAAAAAGAGTTGGCCACGCCCACCCACCCAGTCACATGACCCCCTCACCAAGCCACGCCCACAGAACTGGTAGCAAAAAAAATTGCATTTTTTCACCAGGCTCAAGGTTGACTCAGCCTTCCATCCTTTCAAAGGTAGGTAAAATGAGGACCCAGATTGTGGGGGCAATAAGCTGACTTTGTATAAAATATACAAAAGGATGAAGGCTATTGCTTAACGCATTGTAAGCCGCCCTGAGTCTCCGGAGAAGGGCGGCATATAAATCAAATTAAAAAAAAAAATTGACCACTGGTGCTTAGTCAATATAAAGCAACTAAACTCAATGTGGGGATATCCAACCTACGAGTCTTTCATCTTGCCTTGCTGAGTCCAACGGTCCCCAGTAGGCTGGGGATTATGGGAGTTGCAAGCCAACCTATCTGCTGGGCAGCAGCTTCCCGAGTCAAGCTGCAGAACCCATCCAAATGCTCAGCACTGAAGCCACAGAGGCTGCTGGACTTCATTGCCTTCTGAATCCTGGAACCGACTCATGCCGATCGCTTTTCTACAAAGTTTGTTCTTTCCCAAGAGGAAGGAGCTTCTGGAACATCTCGAGAACCACCTAACCTTTCTGATGGCATTGGAAAGCCCAGGAGAACAGGTTGGGGGGTATTGGGGGGGGGGAGATGGCATCATGGTAGCAGTCTTTCAATATTTGATGGGTTATCACAAAGAAGAGAGGGGTCAACCTATTCTCCAAAGCGCCTGAAGGCCGGACAAGAAGGATGGAAACTAATCAAGGAGAGAAGCAACCTGGAACGAAGGAGAAATTTCCTGACAATGAGAACAATTAACCGCTGGAACAGCTTGCCACCAGAAATTGTGGGTGCTCCATCACTGGAGGTTTTCAAGAAGAGATTGGATAGCCATTTGACTGGAATAGTATAGCGCATGGATGGCTAACCTTTTTGCCATCGTGTGCCAGGAGGGGGTGGTGGGGGATGCCCACACCCATAATTCTCTGCGCCCCACCCTGCGCATGCACACGCAATTCCCCTCCTTCCCCGCTCCTGGCATGCGATGGCCAGGTAGGCCCGTTTTTCTTTCTCACCTGGTTCCAGATCCTCTCTGTGCATCTGGGGAGGGCGAAAACAGCCTTCCCCACTCCCCCGGAGGCCTGAAACGGCCCATTTCCCAACTCCCATTGGGACAGGAAGAAAGAGGCTGGGGAAAGCAAAAAACGTCCCTTCCTGTCCCACCGGAAGTTGGGAAATGGGCCGTTTCAGGCCTCCAGAGGGGGTGGGGAAGGCTGTTTTTGCCCTCCCCAGATGCATAGAAAGGATCTGGAGCCAGGTGAGAAAGAAAAGCAGGCCTTCCCCACCCTCACGGCCCTCTAGAGGCAAGAAACAGCCTGTTTCCTTACTTCTGGTGGGCCCAGAAGGCCCGAAAATCAGCTGGCCGGTGCGTGCATGCAACAGAGGTGAGGTGGCGTGCCCACTGATATGGCTATGTGTGCCATCTGTGGCACGTATGCCATAGATTTGCCATCATGAGTATAGGGTTTCCTCCCTGAACAAGATTTTGGACTAGAAGACCTCCAAGGTCCCTTCCAGCTCTCTTTTTCTATGACTTCTAAAATTTCAGAGGCAGCTTGCAGCAGCAATAAATGGGAAATCCGGGTCCCATTTATCGGCAGGAACTCAGTCCTCCTGTCTGCAAATTCTACAAAACTTTATAGCACTTGTCGTCTGACCGCCTCGCCAATCGGAGGATGGCATTTTTAAGTCCCCAGCCATTTTTCCTGTCCTGAAATTATTCCACCCCCCGCCCAACTGTGATCCATGGTGTGAATTCTCACACATTTGAGCTGGGAAACTTTATAAACAGTGCGCTCGGAAAGGCAGGTGTGATGCCATGAAAACAGTTCCTTCCAAAGCCAGAGAGAAAAATCACTCCCCAAGATTTTTGGGAACAGTGGCCATTTTTTTAAAAAAAAATATATAAAAACCATTTCCCCCATTTTTTTGGGGGGGGGAGGTTGCACAATTTACAGGTGGAACACAAGCTTGAGGCCTTGGGAAGGAATTTTTTTGTTTTCCTTCTCTGCCTTGCAACCTTAATTTTCACAGGGAACGGTGTTTGGAGAGGGGCGTGAAAATGGTTTGGGAAAAGGACAGACCCCCCCTCAAAAGTGTGCCCCTCTCACCTTGCTGGGGGATCATCCTCTACCTCTGCACCCCTAAAACAGTGCCCCATCCTGCGTACCCCACCCCTTGTGACGGAAAGTAAAAAAAACAAAAAGTATGCATGGAAGAAATTGCTGTTTTGATAACAATAAAGAGTTACTCACATACATTTTATGCTCTGTGTTTCCCCTTGATTCTCCACATTCCTTCCCCAACTTTTATAAATACCCCCACCCCCTTTTCACATCCATCTGAATTTCTGCTGCTTTTTCTTCCTTTTTTTTTCCCTTCTCTCGTTCGTTTTTGTTTTTGTTTTGGTTACTCGGATGCTTTAGAAGTCCCTTTAATTATATATTTTTTTTACAGTTTTGGTTTGGTGTGGTCACTACAGCCTGTTTAAACCATCAAGGCAATCGACATTAAAAATATATAGATAATATATACATTTAAAAGCTCCCTTTCTCCCTGCCGCCATCCCCCCCTTTAGAATAATCACCTGCCGATGATTATTAAGCCCTTTGGAATTTAGCGGTTAAAAAAGCGGTTTAGTCACTTTGATTTGAGTTAAAAAGCATGTTAAAAGTGTGATTAGATGGTTAAGTTAGAATTTAGAAATGATCTTTCTGTTCTTTAGGGTTTTTTTTTTTCCTTTTTTTTCTTTTTGCTCATTCTTTTCCCCACTGAGTTTAAAGTGTTAAAGGTGCAGCTCTCGTCCCTGTTTGGGTTAGATGTATCGACCAAAAAATTTTAATAAATAAAGAGGTTTGTTAAGCCTCAAAGCTGGCGAGAAGAGGCAAAGAAGGAAGACGATGATGGTCATGCTACTTATTCTATTTTATATATTTATGTAAAATTCTACTGTATCTTATCCTATAACTATTGTATTTTACCCTACCCTATTTGCTTAGGGGAGCAGACCAATATGTTGACTTCTCGGTGGGAAAAAAAGATCTAAGATGGATTCCTGCTTCACCCCAAGCCTTCCTGACCTGCTTAAATGTCCCTGTATCCCTGTTTCATCTTTTCCCGCTCAGCTGCCCGCCAGATGTTTTGAAGATTGGGCGGGTGGTTGAAGGAGAGGCAGTCACTCCAGGGGTAAACCTCTCGCTGCAGGTAGCCGAAGTTACAAAAAGGAGGGGGGGGGGGAAGGTCCATCTAGATTAAAAACAACCCCATCTTGTCAGCTCAGGAAGGAGGAGAGAGTGTGACATGAGAAGAAGGAACATCGTTGAGTCGTTCAAGGTTGACTCAGCTTTCCGTCCTTCCGAGGTCAGTAAAATGAGGACCCCAGATTGTTGGGGGCAAGAGGCTGACTCTGTAAACAGCTTAGAGAGAGCTGTGAAGCACTGTGAAGTGGGATATAAGTCTATTGCTACCTCCTTCCTTCCTTCCTTCCTTCCTTCCTTCTTCCTTCCTTCCTTCCTTCCCTCCTTCCCCCTCCTTCCTTTCATCCTTCCTTCATCCATCCATCCTTCCTTTTCATTTCCTTCCTTCCTTCCTTCCTTCCTTCCTTCCTTCCTTCCTTCCTTCCTGTTACAATGCAGTATTTCAGGCTAACTCTGCCCACTGCCAGCAGTTCGATCCTGACCGGTTCAAGGTTGACTCAACCTTCCATCCTTCCTAAGTCAGTAAAATGAGGAGCATCTGCTCCCTTCCTCCCACCCCTCTGTGTCCCGCTCACCAGCACCCCCATGCCTGTGGTGCCGGTGCTACTAGTAGGCACGGCAAAAGATGCCTGCCCCCCCCCACCCTGAAATCTGCTCCCTGCCCATCAGGTTTCCCCCCCTTTGCACGGAAAATGCCGTCCTATTTAAGGGGTCAACCGAAACGATCCGTCCACGAAGACTCAAATCATCCAGGCCAAAGATTGTCTAAAAGGTTTGAATCGTGGCCACTGGACCGAACTTTCTTTGCTTTGGTCCGGGTCAGTGGCCACGATCTGACCGTTAGAAACCAAACCCCCAAAATCCTGGCCAACAACTTTTCTCTTCCAGCTTTGTCTCTGCTTCACCAGCCATGCTATCTCGCTTTCTCTCGGGAGCGCGAAGGAGAAAAAGCGAAAGGGGCACAGAAAGCGATAAGGGAAGAGGGCTGCAACCTTTAAAACCTTTTTTTCTTTTTTTTTTAAACTTGTGAGTTAACCGGAATTAATTATGGTTAATTACCTTTGTCGAGTAGCCATTCATCTACTACTCGACCGAGCCGATACGGTATTCTTTGTCTAGCAATCGCCAGCCGCTCATTATCAGTGTTCCCTTCAAAAAGTTTAGAGAGAGATTGGTAGACGGTTAAGAGGAAGAGAGAAAAAAACAATAAAAGGAAAAATAAAAGAACAACACCAAAAAAAAAAAAAGTTAAAAGAAATTTAAAAAAAAATTAAGAAGAACAGAGAGAGAGAGAGAGATTAAAAAAAGAGACATATACGCCATCTGGAAGGTCAAAGGTCAGAGGTTAGCAAAATTTAGAGAGGTCAGACTACACTCCAAACAGCAGTTTAAGCGTTGGAATCAAAAATTAGCGGTTAAGTTTCCATTAATTCTTTTTTTTTTTTGGAGGGGGGAGTAGGTGGGGATGGGGGAAAAAGGTGGGGGGGAAATTTGTCTGGGGTGGGTTTAGCGAGTTTAGCCACAAATGAATAAAATGCTAGTTATACGGTTTAGTTTAAGGGTTAGGATGAGTAGGAGGGAAGTTAGAAGGCTTTATGGAGCTCCGGGGAAAGGAACAAATTCTCCCCGGGGCCGTTTTTGTTTCTTGTTCTTGTTTTGTTTTTCTTGTTGTTGTTGTTGTTGTTTTTTTAAGCAAAAAATTAAATTCACTTTATTAGCCGACTTTATGTTCTACGTCAGAAAAACGGTGGAAAAAGCAACACTGCGCGCTGACCGACTCTCTCTCTCCCAAAAGTTTTCCCTTGCCCAAACTCGTAGGATTTGTCATCTTGGTTTTTTTTTTTCTTTTTTGGTTTAATTTAATTTAAATTCTCTGCCCCGGCCCACCACCCCCCGGTTGATTCCCTGCCTACCAACTCCACCCACCCCACCATTTTGCAACCCCACCCAAAAAAAGATAAATAAAATAAAATAAATAAAAATAAGAGACCCCCTCAGATTTCTCCCCGCTTTGGCCTCTGAAAAGGGGCAAAGGAAGTGAGCAGTCTATAGCCATCAAAATAACGAGGGAGGGGGGTGCAAACGCAGGGGGGGGGGTGAACCAGGTGTCTTGGGAAGGTTGGCCGGCCAGCAGATCCGAATTTGGTACACTTTTAGGCGAACGCACCTAAAAGGTTGGGCTTCCTAGATGGGACGCGCTTTTGGAGCCGCCCGCCTGCCCTCTTCCAATTGTCTCCCCGCTGTTAACGCTTTAAAAGAGGGTTCGAATCACACACCGTGGATTTGTCGTTTCCCACATCGGCGGCCTCGGAGAGGAGAGCCGCACAAACCAGTTTGGGATTGGATGGGCACCCAGGGAAGGTTCAAAGCTCAGTCCAAACATTTCTGAATGTTTCTTCCAGGGGTGGGTTCTTACCTTTACTACCGGTTCGCAACGGGATCGCTTCTGCGCACGCGCAGATCGCCGATGATGACATCTGGGGCGGTGGGCGGAGACTCCCGCTGGTTTTACTACCGGTTCTTGTGAACCGGTCTGAACCGGGGGCAACCCACCACTGGTTGCTTCCCAGCTTTTGTGTATGTATGTGTGTGTGTGTGTGTGCAGAGGTGGCATTCAGCCGGTTCAGACCGGTTCGCCCGAACTGGTAGCGGAAATCATGTATTTTTGAGGCCAGGTGTACGCGTGGAAGGCACGCACGCCAGCAAAGCATGTGCACGGAAGGCCGGACGCATGCGTGACGCATGTGCTCACATTTGCGAACCGTTAGGGAAAGTAAGTGAATACCACTCCTGGGGGTGAGGGGAAAACCTTGTCCCCGGATTCTGTCCTCTGCTGGGTCAAAGGCTCAGTAGCTTCCAGAGGAGAAAAGGTGTTTTCAGCAGGAACGCCATGCTGCATGTTCAGCCGGGAATGCAATCCCTTCTCCCGTTTCACTCAGATCTCACCTCCCAAATTTCAGCCAACTGTACCGGCTTACCTGTCGTGCGTCCCCCCCCGCCCCCCGAGGAGAAAATAATGCTGGGTGTGGAGTGGTTCGGTGACCTAGAGATGGAGCTCTCGCCTCACCATCGGGAAGATGTGGTTTCAATCCTAAATTAGAGGCAGATATTTCTCTCTCTCGGGGCACCATGAGAATTTATCAGCCGAACAAAACTCCGCACCGGTGACAGGAAAGGTATCCGGCCAGTAAACACTCAGCTCCATTCAATTGCCCAGACTCCACCCTGATGCAAGGGATTATGGGGTCATTAAAAGAAGATGATTAGAGAGAGAAGGTGTGGAAGATTGGAGCCGGGTACAGATGGCGCTTTCCAAAGGTTTTCCATGGGGGGCTTCGGAATACAATACGGTGAGGAGCCACATCTGCTTGTTCACGCTTTTGGTTTTGTTGACCATGCTGGGCCGGTAGAGCAGCTTTCCCTTTCGCCCTTCGCCTGGTCAGAGGCGGAGACGGAGTCAGCCAAAGCGCCATGAGAGCAGCCAAAATTCGGCGGAAAGATGCAAGGCGGGATGGACTCCTGGATCCTCAAGGTGGCCTGAAGGAAGCCAACGAGGTCAGGGAGAGCTTCAAAAATGGAGACACAGAGAGGAAACAGGCTGTTCCCAAACGACATACTGGATTCTGTCGGTTGTATGAATCGCCAAGCACCAAGAAAGACAGTGGAACAGCTTGCCACTAGAAGTTGCGGGTGCCTCCATCCCTGGATGCTTTTAAGAAGAGTCTGGTCAGTCTCTGATCTGAAATGGTATAGGTTTTCCCGCTTGAGCAGAGGGCTGGACTAGAAGACCTCCAAGGTCCCTTCCAGCTTATTCTATTCTATTCTATTCTACAGGCGAGCAACCGCTGGCTTCCCGACTGAGTGAAATATCTGTTGTGCAAGGAAACCAAGGCGCCACGTTTCCCAGGTTCTGGAGGCAGAGCAAGATAAGGGTAAGCTTAGATTAGGGCCCTGGCGGAAGCCACTTTTGAAGGCAGCAGCAACTCTTGCTTCAAAAATCTTCTGGGGCGGTCAGGAACAGCTTGAGGGATGGACGAGGAAGCTGGCAGGAGCAGCCAAAAAGACCAGTTGGAAGGTTTGATGTCCCCCCCAAAGACGTATATAGATCTTCCATGAGGACTGGACACAGACGTGTCTTCGGGAATTCTAGGGAAGTTTGTGCGTGCTGTAGAACAGGAACTAAGCTGGGAAACCAGAGACAGAAGACTGACTTCCTTCCTTCCTTCCTAGCTATCCTCCCTCCCTCCCTCCCTCTTTTCTTGCCCTTCATTCCTTCTTTCCTTCCTCCCTCCCTCCCTCTTTTCTTGCCCTTCCTCCCTCCCTCTTTTCTTGCCCTTCATTCCTTCTTTTCCTTCCTCCCTCCTTCCCTCTTTTCTTGTCCTTCTTCCCTCCCTCCTTCCCTCTTTTCTTGTTCTTCCTTTCGTCTTTCCTCCCTCCCTCCCTTTTCTTGCCCTTCCTCCCTCCCTCCCTCTTTTCTTGCCCTTCATTCCTTCTTTCCTCCCTCCCTCCCTCTTTTCTTGCCCTTCCTCCCTCCTTCCCTCTTTTCTTGTCCTTCTTCCCTCCCTCCTTCCCTTTTCTTGCCTTTTATTCCTTCTTTCCTTCCTCCCTCCCTCCCTCTTTTCTTGCCCTTCTTTCCCTCCCTCCTGCCTGCCTGCCTGCCTGCCTTGGCTGATCTGTAACCCCTTTCTGTTTTGGGAAAGAATATTTCTCCTTCAGAAAAATGATTTGGGTGGGTGGGGGGAGGAAGTAGGGTAGAAAAGCAGCGTTCCTTCAGCTTACGTTCCTTCCATGGGATGGGAGTGTGTGGGTGTTTGTGTGTCTCATGATTTAATTCAGATTTTATCAACCCTGGGGCCCTGTGGATAAATTGACACGATCGGAAAAGAACATTCATCTGTCTCAACTAAAAATCAAAAAGATTCAGGAGCAATTCTCTGTCGGGTTTCCCTATCTCTCTCCCTTCCCTTCCCTTCCCTTCCTTCCCTCCTCTCTCCCTTCCTTCTTTTCTTCCTCTCTCTTCCTTCCTTCCCTTCCTCTCCCCCTCTCTTCCTTCCCTTCCCTTCTCTCCTCCTTCCCTTTCTCTCCTTCCCTTCCTCTTCCCTACTCCTTTCCTTTCCTTTCCTTTCCTTTCCATTCCATTTTCCTTCCCTTCTTCTATTCCTTTCCTTTCCTTTCCTTTCTTTCCTTCCATTCCTTTCCTTCTTCTTCTATCTTCCTTTCCTTTCCTTTCCTTTCTTCCATTCTTCCTTTCTTTCCTTTCCTTTTCCCTTCCTTCTTCTATCTTCCTTCCTTTCCTTCCTTTCCTTCTTCATCTTCCTTTCCTTTCCATTCCATTCCATTCCTTTCCTTCTTCTTCCTTCCTTTCCTTTCCTTCCTTCTTTCCTTCCCTTCTTCTATCTTCCTTTCCTTTCCTTCTTTCCTTCCCTTCTTCTATCTTCCTTTCCTTTCCTTCCCTTCTTCTATCTTCCTTTCCTTTCCTTTCCATTCCTTCCCTTCTTCTATCTTCCTTTCCTTTCCTTTCCTTTCCTTCTATCTTCCTTTCCTTTCCTTTCCTTTCCTCCTTTCCTTTCCTTCCCTTCTTCTATCTTCCTTTCTTTCCTTCCTTTCCTTCCTTCTTCTATCTTCCTTTCCTTTCCTTTCCTTTCCTTTCTTTCCTTTCCTTTCCTTTCCTTTCCTTTCCTTTCCTTTCCTAAGGTCAGAGAGCACTAAGGACCCCACAGCCCTTCCTCCTCTTCCCTCCCCCCCTCCCTTCTAACACTGATGATATTACCTAGTTGGGTCACGAAACATTTGCAAGAAAACCCCCAAGCTCAGAGAGCCCCGAGGACCCCGCAGTTCAACCCCGAGCCACAAATATTCTATTGGTACCCAACCCCACGTTGCCTAAGAATGGGGAAGGGGGGGGCAGGGACACACATACCCCTTTTGCTCCCTCGCATTGCACCCCACCACCCCTATGGAAACTCTTTCCTAGTTCAAGCCACATCTCCGAGGCTTGGCCTGTTTGGGGAAATGTAGCAGTGTCTGTTTTTGTGTGTTTGTGTGTGTGTATGTGTGTTTTAACAAATGCCATTTTCTGCATGCAGTTGACTGGTTCCCCTTTCCCAGGGATGAGTCTCCATTTCAGTTTTTCAAGAGGTGGTGGTGGG